TGGTAACGAAAAGGTGGATAAATCCTGTTGTTATATATGGTAAATTACTTCCTGTAGCACGTTGGGTAGTCCGTTCTCCTTTGATGGTGTAAAAGACGCTTAAAGAATAATCGCCTAGCGATATCATTCCTCTTCCAAAATCAAAGTTAAAAGAAACCGAAGGCGCGGTAAAAATCATAATTTTTTTCTCGACATCTAATAAATAACGTTCGAAGGAGTTGCATTATGAAAAAACAAAAAAGATAGCTGCTAAGGCAGACAATGCTCTACTCAAGAAAGTTTCGTACTTAAAAATCACAAGAAAAAAATTAAAATGTAGATAGATGTGACTCCTCAGATTCAGACATTTTTTCACATCATGATGCCAGTGACAACAATCATCTTCTATCAACGGGTGAACCTCCATTGCAAGAATCTCACGGCATGCACAGATTAGGTCCTGATGACTTCAGTTTGGCGAAAGTTTTTGTTTGTACGTTTCGAAGATTAGGGCACATGGGGATTCCATGTCCAGTTCTACAGGAGGACACAAAAATCTCTGGGTTTTATTCAAATTGTCGAGTAGTCGTTTTGAAACAAAGAATATGGGGTGCTAAAGTTGTCAAAATCAATAGTGTGATCCTCATAACTAATAGTTATGAAAACATAATTATCTTTTGAAATTACTGGTCAAATTTTACAATTTATTGCTTAAAAATTATAATAATTGTATTAAAATTTTACTTTTTTGAAATTGGTTTACTTCTTTATCCTTACTCAATAGTTGATGTTACAAGAGTGCACACACTGTTGACGGTTGCAATTGCTAATTTTGGGGAAATATCTCCCAAGAAGCTTAGATGATTGTTGGTGCACTGGCGGTGGATAGAATTGAAAGAGGTATTGACAATCAAAAAAAGATTCACCAGTGTCAAATGAAAAAAATACTTCATGACATTACATTTACTTTAAAATCTTTATCTTTCAGTTCTTTCTCTCTACCTTCATTCAGCGGTTACCTCTCATACATTTTCAACGACTACCAAAATCTCCAACCAGAACGCGACTATAGAGAAAATACCTTTTCTCTAAGTCACGGCCCACTACCAGAGCGAGCTGGGTTGGCTGAGGCTTTCGTCTTGATCACTGTTTCTCTACCTCACGCACGTAGCAGGGGAGTAATGAGCAAGTTGAGAGCTAACTTTGGGTGCGGAGAGAGTCCTTAAGTGCCGCGAGGAACCGCTGTCGTGACGTATCACTGACTTTGCTTCCCCGCCCTCCGGAAAGCAGAAGGGACAGCTGCTTCCTATCGAGGCCCCACGACAGAGCAGTCGTAAGGAGTCAACAACGTTGTGTGCCTCCCAGATGCGCCTTTGACTACCAACGATCTTTCAATGAAATGCACTTGCCCTCCGAAAACCCATGAGTTATGGAATAGCAAAATATGAACAAGAAACATTATTATTACTTTCAATTGAATAAATAATTGCTTATTCAATTGAAGTAATATTTTATATAATTATATGATTATAAATATATGACAATAAATATATATGATGCTACAAATATGATAATAAATATATAAATATACGATAACAGTAATATGATTATAATCAGAGATCAGAGTAATCAGTAATCTAGTAATAAAGTAATCAGAGATCTGGAATATCTTTGTTAAGCGAAACGTTTTAGAACAAAGGCTTCACTTGTCTCGGTTTCTGACGAAAAATGTTTGTACTATTTATACTTGGCGAGAATAATGAAAAGAAAACCGCTAGTAATAAAGCAACTATACAATTTTGTTTACTGAATGTATGTGAATCATTAATAACATTCAACAAACCGCACAGTCATTATAAAAATTACTGTTGTGTATTGGATTCAAGGTAAAGGCAATTGGAACAATATGAAACCCATCAAGCACATCTTGAACATCATGAGTGATGTGTACAAAGTTTATTTTCTTTTGTGTAAATATGAAAGACACGCAAGTAACTTGAAAAATTAAATATTAGTATTTTTTACTTGTTGAATTAAATTGAAACTTGTTTAATTTAGTGTACAATTATTTGGAGTTGTTTTGAGAAACTTTGGTTAAGCATTGAGAGAAAATAGTCACAATTTGACTTAAAAATAATGATATTTTAACTATTGCTATTGTAACACTCATTAATATGATATTATTTTAAATATCAATAGAATAAAGAAATTTTCAATACTAGCTAGAAAATTGAACAAAAAAGGTAGAGCAAAAGTATAGAAAAATTGCACAAAATTTTGAAAACGCAATACGAGCTTCATTCCCGACATTAAACAATAAAAATTCGCAAAGCCTCAAGTTGATGCAGATGTACATACAGTCGAAGAACCATTTTTGAAAAAAATCATGTTTAGAATCTGATGTTGTTAATAGATAATGGACAGAGGGTGGAAGGAAAGGCGGAAGGTCGGACAGATAAACAAAAGGATGTACAAACTAGTATAGTTTTAAAAAACGAAACAAACAGCCTTTTAATAATGTCAGTTTTCAGAATCAGTTATATCTAACAATATATTTCCGTAAAAATCTCGAGATAGATTTTTGCACGATGAATAAACTTTATTTTATACATTCGCGAAATCAAAATCTACACAATTTATTGAAGTATTACAATGTCAAAATTAAGATAAAGCAGGAGAGTTTCTTTCGTTGATGTAGTGCAACTGTGCTCGCTCCCTGTCTTGTAGGTAGTATATTCATTGTGGGCGTTTGTTTTGCAAACGCGCTCTTGTTCTATGATTGCGCCGCGCGGTGCTGAATTAGCTCCGATTCCGTAATGAGAGGCGCAACAAGGGCGTCATATCCGTATGCGACAGAGGCGTCATCGAGTAACGCTCGTTCCTTATCCACAAATAAAAGTTGCTAAGTAGTTCGACCGCAGAGACATTAGCGATATTAAATAACACACATTTTGTTATATGAATGGGTGAAAACCAGAACGGTATACGTGACGTTTTATAAATTCAGAGAAATCTGTTTATTTAAGTCAGTATTCCTATAAAGTCGTGGTGCGTTGTTTTATTAATTAAACAACAGTATTTAAATTGTTCATTAAAACCACGAAAATATATTGCCATTGATATATAGCCTAAAATAAACACGTTTTTCTCAGAATTTATAAAATGTCGCGTATTCCGTTCTGGTTATCACCCATTCATATGTAATGTTATATGCAGATTCACCAAACGATCTTCCCCCAAGTGGACTCATTTTGAAGACGTTCCAATCAAAAAATGAGTATTGTCATTTACTCGTATTATATACGGACAGCACAGGAAATTAAGGTACAACATAACCGGCATTCTCCGAACAATCTCACTGCCTTCTGTGAACACTGCCTTGGTCATAAACACACTTTTCAATAAATGACAGTGTTCTCTAGGAAGGTCAGTAGTAAAACAATTTCCCCTCAAGTCTGAGGCTGACCTAGGCGAAGCAAGACTCCCAACGGTCACACGTGTGTGCAATTTAATTATTTAACTGCAAATAATGACCGCCGATTCCAACTTCACAGCCTCGCGTCCGTGTAGAGTACGTAGAGCGAGAGAGCAAACAACGTGCCCAAGCGCCTGCTGCCAGGAAGGCAATCTGGGTGGCCGCCAGCTGACGTAGAAACACGAGCGGAACATTGTGTCGATGCCAGGCCTCGTGCCCTTGACTGCGTTAGAAATAAAGCACGTTTAGATCGAAGGTTAATACAAATCGAACCTCATGTTCATAAATTGCCTACTTCTATTTACTGGTTCACATTTCTTCCTTACGTTTTAAGACTTCATTTCTTGTGATGATAATGTAATTTGTTTTTAACTTTTATGAAAGAATAAAACGTATTTAAAAAACGAA